TGCAGACTCAGTGCAAAACACTGACAATACCATCACCTGGGCACCCGAAGTCTCCCGCCAAAACACCTCCCTCTAAATATTTCTCTTTCTCTCTGGCGTACACACTCTCTACTGCTAGACCCCACAGTGTGCGCCCAATTCAAAACAGTCACCATACCTGGTATTCAGTTCTGTATTTTGAATACTTTGATAAAAACTTTTGTGTTGGTGGCCTGTTTTGATCGGAATTCAGTTTTTGTGTTTGTGCATTCCTTTTTGAATACTATTATGTTTGTTTCCTGAATATTTTCGATAGCTGAATTTTTTATGTTTTGAGAATAGTAGAATCTTCAATGCAGAATTCTTCACTATTCCAAATTTTTTTTATTTCTAGACACTTCTCAAATTTCTGGAATTTTTCCTAATTCTTGCTGTAAAATAGTTCTAGGAATTCAAAACACTGCGAAAACATCCAAAAGTTTCCAGAAATCGGCGACTATTGAGATGTTCTCTCTTTTTGAAGCGAGGTTTTTTTCTATACATTTTCCATAACATAATTTTAACCAGCTGAGAGGGCAGACAAGTTTTGGTTGCCGTGAAGCGCATTTATGCGAAAAGGTGTTATTATAATCACAGAATAGTATCATCATAGTGCTATGCCCGACTGCAATTGTTGTGAAACATTGGGTATTCGAATTGTTGTAGTGGTAGTAGTCGTTGTGGTTGTACAAATTACTTTTTGTTTCCACACTATTTCTATTGATTCTCAGCTTTCCGATTGGTGGGTGGGAGAATAAGGGAAATTGATTAATTTCACTATTTTAGCCACCAGAAAGCTCGACTTTAAACTCTAGACAAAGTGCATCCGGGTTATCAGGAAGCCTAGACAAATACACACAACATATGTTTGCTTTGATTTTTAAAAATGCATCTCATTAGTCTTGTTGTTGTCAAGATACTTTTAACTGTGAACGATAAACTGACTCCTCTGTTGTTCATCTTTTTTTTTGTTTGTACTGTTGCCTAGTCTCTTTTAACAAATCAAATGAACTCAATTTGACCAATAACATTGTGTCTGCGTTCCACTATTATCCCAATTTCACTCATCTTGTTTTTCGTTACTTTTGAATGTACCCCTTTTTTTGTTCCATTTCAGAACCTTTATTTCTTTCTTATTTTCAGATCCAACTTGGCCATCAGTAACACGACTATAAATATAGAAAAAATGAAAAAGCTGATAGGAAAGGATAAGAAAACAGATGGTGTTGGAGGAGCGGGATGTTCTTCGAATCTTCAAAATAGTAACTCATTCGGCGGATCGTCTCTACTGAACAGTTCTTCAAAAAAGGACAAGAAAGTTTTGGGACGGAAGGTGAGCATTTTTTTAAAGTTTGATTTCAAATCCCGACTGTCGAATTTACCTAATTGAGGAAAAAAAAACAAAGTCTCAAGCGAAAACCGGTCCCATTTTTGTGTCTCGTGTAAAATATGTAATTGTTGGAATCGGTTGCTAATGGGATTGGTTTCTGAGGTAGAAACATCCCCTGGTTTTTCTCTACTGGCAAACGAAGACGCCCTGTTTTGTGTCTTCCTAAATAGTTTCTAGTTCAAGTATCTGACAAACGGAAAAAAGTTCTGGAATTACACCTGCAGCAAAAAGCTGTAGAAAAAATTTTGCCCAATTTGGAAGAGCAAAAATTAGAGGAATTCTTGAAACATTCCACTGGATTACTGTAGATTAAAAAGTGTTTTTTTCCAACTGTTTTCTCCAGCTTGGAATGTATATCTTGTAAGAAAATGTCATTATAACTCAACCTCCATCTCATGTGAATAGTCCATTCATCAAGTCCCTATAGTCTGGCACCATGCCAAGCAGATGACTGTCTTCTTCCCTTCAAAAAGAGAGGAAGGTCTGCTTCTCTTCAATCGGCACTATCTTTCCGTTCTTCTCACCTTCCCACCTCCTTTGCCTCCTCTGCGATTTGAATACCACATTTTGGCGGCGAAGAGAAGAGACTACAGATAATCAAGAGAGTCCTAGAGAAAACATTGTTTCATTCTGGCTTTTTTAACTTCTCATTTCAAGGTTATCCACCGAATGAGTAATTTTTGTAAAAATTAACTTCTGTATATTCCCGGAGTATAGGGTATATTATATACATTTTCTGATAATCTTGTGTAGTGAAACATCAGTTAACCTCATGATTTTAATTCAAAAACAGGTCTCCAAATCTTCTTTCACACCTATCAGCGAAATTTCAATTTTTCTGTCTGTCATTTTTTTCCGCAATCACTATTTCAGAACCGAATTTGGTTTTTTTTTTCGATTATTCTTCGGACCAGCCTCGACTTTTCCTATGACACTCTTAGTAAGAGTCTCTTACTCATCCTTAATTTTTCTTCTATGATCGTTAGAAGTTGAGTGATTCGGCCATCTGACGTCTTACTTATCCGTTTAGTTCTCTTCGATTGGCTCACTGCTCTTCAGATTTCCCTCATTTCCATCTCTTTTCAACAATACCATTCAAAAGTTGATATCAAAAAAGACATTGATGTTTCTAAAAATTCTTCGTCCTTCCTCCAAAACGTATTAAAAAGTTTGCGAACAGTTGGCGCCTCAACACCAGCGATTTAGAACGAGAACACAGATGTTTTGTGTGTTGAGAGGAGTGGCGATCGGTCAGTGAATCGAAATCGAGTCGCTCTTTCTTTGCCCGAGTTTTTATCTATTCACATATTTTTGATTTTTCATTCAAAATCTAAGTTTTATGAAGAGCTTCACAGATAATTGAGATGTTTCAAAAGTATCAAAGCTATTTTTATGTTATTTCTACCCAACTGTTTACAAAAAAACCGTGGTGCTTCTTCCGCTGTTAAACTCATGTGTGACTCTTCTATTGACACTCAAGCTTATCAGTTACCATCCTGTGAATGTTATAGGTAAAAGTTGGAATTTTCCAACGGAAAGTGTTCAAAAAAATAGTTACTTCAAATTTGGATAAAAATTACTATCGAAATTCTCTATTTCAATATTGCGCTTTGACACAGGCTTTGTACTTTTTTGTTCTCACAACCTTCTTTTTTCATCCTCCCCTGAATAATATGAACGCTATTCGACCTATTCGACCCCCTCTTCTCCGTGCGCCTCATTAGCTCAGTGTCAGAGCGTCTGTCTACACAGGTCCTGGGCGATGATGCGCATAAAGGACCCGATCCGTATGCGATCCTCTAGAAGTCCGTTTGACACATATTGCGAACAACGAGCTGCGATGAGTCTCATGTGTGCGATGCGGAAGAGGCTGAATCGAGTGTTCCGAATGCGCGCGTATCCTAGATGGATTCTAGGTGGGTGGGCGATGTGTGCGATATGGGTCTGATACGGCAGGCCGACTACAACACTCCGAAATCCCTGATGCGCGCATTTTTTACCGTAAATCCACACCGGCAACTTTTTCAATTTTTCGTCAATTCGAGAGTTATGGCAGACTAAAAAATCGCTGAATTCTTGCAGAAACATGTCTTTCACTCGTCAATTGCTATGTTTTTCGCCAAAATAGGTGATATTGAGATTTTTAGATTTCACTTTGTAATTATTGTAAAAATCGTATTTTCAGGTGGAGTAAAAGGTAAGTTGGTAAGTATACAATAACTACAAAGTTTAAATTATAAAAATTTTCAATTTTTCATGCAATTTCAAAAAAAGTGAAAGTGAGACATATTTTTTGAACAAATGAAAAAAAAACAATTTTTAGCGAATTTTTTCCCATTTCTGTTTTTGATTGCATATCAAATTTAAATGGAAACTGCCATATGTCTTTTTCAAAACCAAAACATTGAGTTTCAAAAAATCAGTAATATGTCGTTCAAAATATAAAAGAATATGGAATAATAAAGGAAAAGTACGAAATCGGAAGACCTGAACAAAATCACATCACAATAGAACGAGGCACCGAATTTCTATCGTTTTTGTTCCCCTGTTTATTAAGTAGAAAGTACGCTTACAAGTCAGGTATCTGCCACTACCTCGTTTCACATATGTTTCAAGCTTTCCGTGTTTCTGAAGCATGTTTCCGGAGAAAAAATGAAAAAAAAACATCTCGCGAACGCAATCGAAGCTCCTTTATCACACATGTACACATCTGCGTCAACAGTGTCTCTCTAATGTGCATTATCATATGCTCAAATAGCACCAGCCGGTCCACTTGACATTTGCTCCTTTCTCTGTTCTTCACACTGTTTAGAGATGATCTAGGCAATAGGAAAAGTAGGAAGGGGAGAATGGGTGATTTGCATACTGTTACAAGTAATGCTAAATATTTTGGGTAAATGAACAGAATGGAAACAGTAGGCAATTTCAGAAAATAGTGACACTTGCTAGAATAGTAAGGTTACTGTAGAATTATTTAAAAAAATATTATGCAATGCAGGTACATTATCTGTGATCTAACAGTAATCTAGCAAGTCCATCTGAAGTTTCATCTCTTTCCTCGATTTCTCGTTCCTGTTTTCGCTCCGAATATCGAAGTGTGTTTTATGTTCATTCTGTTTATTTATCAAAAGGTTCTCACCCATTTTCACCTTTTTTCCAACAACGACCGGTCATATCGATGCAAAAAAAAACGAATCGAATTTTTGAAAGAATTCTTTCTTGTATGTAGAATAGAATATCAGATGACAGTTTTCTTCTATTCCCCCTTTTTTCTCTCTTCACTTTTCATGATTGGCTGAAATTTGTATATGGTAATAGACATATATAAACTAGCAGTGAAAAGTAGTTTTTCCTCTTTTTTTAATGCCAGTCAGATATATATTTCTCGATTTGTAATTTATTCTGTTTCATTTTTGATTCCTTAAATTTGAGAATGTAGTTAAACAGTTTTCAAATGGTCTATTCATAGTTTTAATCATAGCTGCGCTTTTATTCTCCCATCATATCTAAACTGAAATTATCATTGTTTTGATTAATTGCGTCCGTTTCCCTCGAAATTCGACACTTATTCCGATTTGATTCCAGTCACGAAATGTCTAGTGACGATTATGAATCGATAGACACTCCACGAGTTGCCTCATTGTCTGATTTGACACGTCTACCAACCCAGCGACACAGTCACTATTCGACGGATGAAGAAGAAGCAGATGTTACACCAACGCCTTCTTCCTCAAACTCTGCTACTAAAAATGTGTTACTGGCCCCTCTAGAATCAATGTTTCTTCCTCATAATTCTGAGAATTCTGATGATTTGGAAGAACCTCAAATCCAGCTACGCGAGAAGAAAAAGAAAGCTCCACGCGCACAAGATGCTACATTATCCCATTTTATGGGAGATGATGCACCTGGGCAGAAGTTCAAAAGAAGAAGTGCTGAAAGGCATTCAATGTTGGCTGGTGCGGCTGATTTTGCTAGTAGAAGAAGCCCTTTTCATTTCAGTGGAGCTGGTTCTGGTAGATGGACAGAACTATTCTCATCAAACCGATTTAAACGAAAAACACGTCAGAAACTGAATGTTAGTTAGTCTATAATATGGCTACTAGTGTCTTGAAAATAATAAAAAATGCGATATTCCAGTCAGGGATATCCGAAAAACTCTGCTCAAAAACTCATTTTTCAGAACGGCCCTTCCTCATCAACCAATTCGAATAATGAAGATTACGGTACTTATGGCGGGACACGAAGTATCGGTGGAATGTCTGTTATTTCTAATTCTTCAGGTAATTTTTTCAATATTTGGAAAAGTTTTTTTTAAAAAATGACATCACTGATATTTTGAATGTTTCCATATGACTCATCAGTTGTTTTCATGAAATTTCTGGAATTTTGGAATCGATTTTTTGTCGATTCTCTCTATGATATTCTCTCGTTATCTTTTTTTCGAGAATTTTCGGGTTAAAGAAATTGGTCGCATTCTACCTGTTTCGGCTACAGAGGCGATTAATGAAAATCAAAAAATGCCTGAATTAAGATTAAGAAAAATCACCAGGTTTATAAGTTTATCTTACCGTTTGCCAGTTCCAGGAGAGTCATATTTCCAATCATGCACTGAAGAACAGCTTCGAGCGGAATTCAGACAAATTATGGTAATCTTTCCAAAAGTTATTATAACTATTATAAGTTTTCAGTTGGATAAAAACTGTCCCGAATCTAGAATCGATGAAATTGTTGCAACAACTCCAACGGAACAAATGAAATCACTGATAGCGAATGCAAGGAAAACGGACGATGTAGCAGCAAAACAACAACCTCCAGAATGGAATCTTCGAGTTCTGGAGAACATTTTGAAATCGCAAAACATTTTAGAATGCAAACAAGACATCGTTACAGTTTCGATTCAGTTGAAATGCCAATCTGTGTCATTTTTATACCAGGTACCAAGATTTTCCGATTCTGAAATCTAATCCTGTTTTTAGTTTGCCGACAGCCTTCGAAGTGAATCTGGAAGAACCGGAGCTGACCTCATTTGCCATCTTTTTTCGTTGGTTCTCAAGAGGCTCAGAAACGCAGACGTTGGATCCAAGTTAGAATTTGACCTGATTGATCTCCTGCAAGAAGTCGTGAGATGCATTCGAACGATTGTTAACACTCATGTAAGCAAACTTTCATCTTCATTGCATTTTCTGTAATACATATATATATATATATTTTTTTTTTTTCAGTTAGGTCTTGAACTAGTACTTCGCCGAAAATCGCCCGTTTGCTCTCTTCTGATTCAAACAATGTGCATTCTGAATCGCAGAAAGTTTAGTGATGATGAACCTAATGAAATCAGAATGTTGAGAGAAAACGTAGTGATGATTTGTGGAAGCTTGATGTTTGTATCTCACGAGACACTGGAATCAAGAGCAATCGAAATGACTGGGTAAGATAGATTTTCTGAAAACATTTTTATTAGAAAACGGTATTTTCAGACAGCAAAAAATGTTCATGGAGTTGACAACGATAGCAAAAGCTGAATCCAAACGTCTCGGGGAAACCGTATCTCGATTCCGTCCTCTTGTTTCTTGCATTCAATTCGTCGAATCAAGAGATAAGAAATTAACAATGAGAGTTCTTTTGATGCTCAATATGCTCATCAATGGTGTAGATCGGAATACGAGCGATGATCAGATGTGGACAGAAGATACAATGTGGCAAGCCAGAATGAGGTTACGAAGTGAAGCAGCCAAGGATGGTTTATCCAAATATATAGAGGTCCTTTTTTGTTTTTTTACTTAATCTTTCCTACTGTTTTTTGCAGAAATTCACTTCATCTGATAGCTCTGACTCTCAAGTTCGAGAAGTGGCACAGAATATGCTCACAGAGCATAATGGTGATATTGAAACACTAGTTGGAAAATTGGATAATGTCAAAGGAGAATACGATACCTTGGATGGTTGTTTTGAGCTTTTGGCTGCCAACTCTGAAGCCACAGGAACTGAGACAATACTTTTGTCGATTCTTCAACTTTTGACACTCACTAATGAAGATATGGCTACTAAAAGAGCGTATATGAAGCTGATAGAAGCATCTATCTTGGAGATCATTTTCCATCGAACACCTATTGATCCTGAATCGGAGGAAAAATTCGTATTTGAAATCCCTATCGCAGAAATAATTGGTAAACGGAACTGTGAAAGCTTTTCGTTTTATGGTATTATTTCAGAGCGGTTCCAAGACGACGAAATGGCGAAAAAGTTGCGTCAAGCTACGTCAGCGAAACAAGAAGCTGTTGCAATGCAAGGAGAATACTGGAAAAAGTTGTTAGAGTTTCAGAATGAGGCTGAAGTTTTGAGGAAACATGTGAGCACTGTTACAATAACTCTGTTATTATAATTCCATCTTATTTTGAGATATCGGATCCTAAAACTCCTCTGCCTCCACCGACGAAGAATACTCTATCGGCTCCATCTACTTCGTCCGGAACATCTGGGCTTCTACCAATCACTGGCGGTCCACCTCCACCACCCGGACTCCCTCCAATTACTGGTGGTCCACCACCTCCTCCGCCTCCAGGAGGTCTTCCGCCAATCACTGGAGGGCCTCCTCCACCGCCACCTCCTGGTGGATTACCTCCAGTCCGAGGAGGACCACCTCCTCCACCTCCTCCGCCAGGATCAGGGCCTCCTCCCCCACCTCCCCCACCACCGCCGGGTGGATTCAAAGGAGGACTTCCACCACCTCCGCCACCGGGAATGTTTGCTCCAATGGCACCTGTTCTTCCCGACTATCTTCCACCTAAAAAAGTTCCTAAAGTGGATGGGCCTATGCGGAAGTTCCCGTGGGGTGCTCATACGATAAATCCACGAGATATTCCAAGAGATTCTTTCTGGGTCGGAACAAATGAAGAACAACTGACGAATGGTCGTATGTATGATAGATTACGAACTAAATTTGCTACTAAACCAGCTGCTGGAGGAGCCATATTGGGCGGAAAAATAGAGACCAAAAAGAAATTGAAAACAGCACAAGTGATTCAGGACGACAAGCTTCTTCAGAAGCTAGGAATTCTACAAGGATCAATCAAAATCACGCATTCCGAGTTGAAATTGGCGCTTCTTGAAGTCAATGAAAAGGTTCTGACTGTTGGATTCCTTGAACAGCTTCGAGCAGCGATGCCAGTCGAAAAAGAGCTGATTGATAAGTTGAGAGCAGTGGATAAGGCACAATTCGAAGAGATGCCAGAAGGAGAACAGTTTCTCACTCGTCTTCTTCAGATTCAAGGACTTCCTCTTCGCCTTGATCTGATTCTTTTCAAAATGCGGTTTCAAGAAACACTAAATGAATTGAAGCCAGCTATGTCGTCAGTGATGGAGGCATGCGAAGAAGTCAGAAAATCCTATGGGTTTCAAACGTTCTTAAAACTGGTCCTGGCTACTGGAAACTTCATGGGTGGAGCGACGAAAAACTATTCTAGTGCCTATGCATTCCATATGAAAATGTTGACGAGATTGGTAGATACAAAGGATGTGGATAATCGACATACTCTCCTGCAACACTTGATCGAAGAAATGAAAAGGGTTGCTAAGGATGAAGCACGGTAAGTTTCATCTTTAATATTTTCTTTTCTACATATTTCAAAAAAATTCAGATTCGCTCTCACGGATTTTCACCATTGCATTGAATCATCACGAGTGAACGCAGATGAAATCCGAAAAACAGTTCAACTGACGGAAAACAACATAAAGAAATTGGAAAACTGTTTGAAAGTATACAAATTGCAAGGAGACCGTGATAAATTCGAAGAAAAAATGCATCCGTTCCTCGAAAAAGCCAGAAAAGAGTTTGCTACGGTGTCCACGATGTCTGCGAAGATGAAGAATGATTGGGAATCGGTTGTCAAATTCTATGCATTCAACGCAACAAAATACCCAATGGAAGAGTTTTTCGCTGATATTCGTACATTTTCTGAACAATATGCAACTGCTTGGAAAGAATTGGATGCAGAAGCCGAGGCAGCAACAGCCGAAGCTAAACGAAAGGAGGCTGTCGTGGAAACTCAGAAGAGGAAACTGCAGCAGCAGGAACAGAAGCAGAGAATTCCATTACAGGAGAGACCAGCTATCAACAGAATGCCTAGAACTCCGGCGATGATTCGTGTGTCTACTGCCGCTGATAAAGTGGGAGTTCTTGATGAATTGGAAAGAGCCACTGGAAATGATGCTTTCCTTCAAACTCTCATGTCCGCTACGAATTCAAGAACTCCTCGTGCGGGAATTCCCAGCCGAACAAGAGGAGGTGGAAGGCTCATTGGAGGTCTCGATCGTCAGCGGTCACGGCATCAAAATCAAGCGAGGCAAGCTCTGAATTTCGGAGAAGATGAACCAGTGTTATCGGGACAATTTCCTAGAGCTCGCAATACTTCACAACATGACCAAAAGCGAATTGTGGGGTCTTCGGAGTCAGAGAAACCGACGACTCCATTAGAACGAGCAAAAGCCTTCGGAGTTGGATTGCCTATTGGGCAGAATGAGCTGAAAATTCGAGTGAGAAGGAAAGGACAACCAGCGGTTCCTGCCACGGTACGATATTTTATTTTCTGTCTGTTCGTATAAAATCGAGTTTCAGAATATTTCCATACCGTCTCAAGTATCTCCGACACACAAAGAAAACGACCCAAGTGCAAGCACATCGTCTGGACCGATTTCCACATCGTCTACCGTAACCTCTAACTCATCATCATCAAACACAATAGTTCCGTCAACCGATGATCTCCTCGCACGTCTTCATGATTTCTAATGTGTTCTTCGCGTATTTTCACTTCTGTTCTAGTCGATCCCCCGTCCCTAATTAATACAATGTATTTTTTTTTTCAGTTTATCGAAACTTTCAGTCATTCACAGGGTCCGTCTTTTGCTTTGATTTCATTTTTCCCATCGTATTTAGTTATTTTTCTTCCCTTTCACTTTCTTTAGGTAAGCAAGTATACGTTAAGTTACATTTATTGATAAAATAATACATAAATAAAAAACACCCGTCTTTACAAATGTTATTCGGCAGTAGAGTTAGACGAAATTAATACGTAAAGTGATTGCACGAGCCAAAACTTCGTCGGAAACCAGAATTTCATCACCGTCAGCAACGATATCTGTAGAATGATCCGATTTTTATAGGATTTTCAGTTACCGTTCACCTTTCAAGAATAAATGCAGATTTGCTTTGCTCTCCTCTTCCAATTGCGGAAACAGAAGACTGATGCAGAAGAGTTTTCTTTGCGCAGTTTCGAGTGTTGGATTTTTGAGATGGCTGAAAAAGTATGGAAATTTAAAATACTGAAAGGCAATCTTAATCACTAACTATCTTTCCATTAGACTATTGATCAATTCTTCCAGCGTGTAGGTCGAGGAAACTTCAATCGGAAGACGTCCACCATTACAAACATGGCAACTCTCCTGGAAATAAGAAATTGGGGAATGCGCAGAAATTAACAGCATTTCTCATAGTTAGCTTACATCTTTACTCATAGAAACAACACTGGTGTATGCGCCGTGGATTTGAGTAAAGTTGAGATAGTTGTCGATTGGTTTGGCGATGCTGGAAAATGAAATTTTCAAAGCTAAAGTTAGGCACCGCAATGAAAGGGGGCGGGGCGACCAAATTTTTCTCCCCTTTTCAGAAATCCATCTTTGAAGGCTTGTACCGGGCGTTAGAAACCCATTATTTTTTTGGTGAGAACTTGTCCCTATGTAATCGACTACGCTGAATCCAATGAAATTATCAGTTCTTCGATAACTTTATTATTTTGATTCGAAAACTTCGAAAAATAGAAGTGGGACTGACAAAGTGGACTAAAAGTGTTGGATGGAAGTTCGCGCCATTAGATTTTTTAATGGATTCTGATAGTTTTTGAACTGGGGGATTGGATTTTGAAATAAAATCAAAATTCTAACGACGCCCTTGTTTCACAATTTTCAGCCAAAGTTCCAGCTAAAATAAATAAAAAATTTCAGCGATGACCCAATTTTTTTTTGCATATTATGGTAAAACTAAGTCTTGTGTATACTTCTGCCAATTTTCAGAAAGATTGAATACCTCTAAGTAGTTTTGATACTCATCCGAAAATTCCAAACTTTCAAAATTTTCAGTTTTTGGAAGTTTTGAAGGTGACACAGGTGAGCGCCACCGATTTTCTTTTCACCATAAGATTCTACGCAAAATTTGCCACTAAGAGCAATTATAATTAAAAAATTCTATCGACGCCCTTAATGTGTTATACGTCTGTTTCCTTATCTATCATGGAACAACTTGTAAAAAATAGGAAAGAGGCAACACCGGAAGGAGACGGCAGGCAATGAAAAGTCGTCCTTTCCTCACTCTCATCTATTGCTTCCAAGAGAAGTGCAGCGGTGGCAGACTGGTTAGTGGGCGCGCGCACCGATCTGAAGACCGAAGTTCGCATCTCCCATGGGGTTTTTTTGTTTTTTTTTCCTTTTTTCAATGGGCCACGGTGTTTGCACAAAACAGAAAGTACCGTAGTAATTCAGAAAGTTTGTGATTTTGTTGTTTTTACTATAATTATAATTACGATATGTCTGATTCATCTTCAAAAATGGATCCTGAGCCCCCAGAAAAACGGAGGAAAGGAGGTATTGTTAATCAATAAATTATAGTAAAATTTTGAAGTCTGAATGTTATAAACTTATTCTTTTCGTTTTTTTACCCTAAAAACTGCTTTTCCGACAAACCAAGATGCGATTTTGATGAAAAAACAGCGCTCGGAATAGCGCCACAATGTTACCGCGCCGCAGCTAAGCCCCGCCCACTTTTCTGCGCACCGCAAAAAAATGAGGAGAAATTCAGTACATTGAGGTCTGGTATAAAAGGGGCTGTAACTCGGGATTGAATGAAGATTTTTCCCTGAAATTTTGGGAATGGACTTCTATAAAGTAGGAGAATACAATCCAACAATAAAAACTGGGAAAAGTCTATTTTGAAAATTTTGTTGTGGTGCCTAGCTAAAGTCCATAAAGTAGCTTACTTGGTTGCCAGTTTGAGCGCCTCAAGTGCGCACGAAGCAGCAATAACAGCATTTGTTGATGCTACAGCAGGAATGATTCTTTTGAGAACTCCAGAAGTAAGACGACGATCAACTCCTCGAATATTGTACTTTTCCGCACGAAGCAATGCTCCTTGAAGAACCCATTCGACATGTTCCGGATCATCTGCGTCAAGAGCGGCACCTTCGAATGGTTTCTGTTCTGGCCAAACTACCACTTTGATGTATTCGACACAATGTTCCGGAAGGCGAGGTGTGTGAGCAATAGTGCAAAGTGGGAAATTGACTTGTGGTGGGTACAAATCGATGGTGCAGTCTATACAAGCTGACATCTTGGGATATATTACACGGGCGTTTCCTGAAAAACAAGAGAGGTGAAACGGGATTCCTTTATAGCAAACAAACCTTTGAATCCTTCAGTTCCCCCGTCAATCATCGGAATGATAGTACTCATATCCGGGGTTCCATCAGCATGCTCCAGAACTAAATCACACTGAAAATATATCAAATTATGCGTAATTCATCAGATTGAATATTACCAGCATCCCATTGATCCATCGTCTAGCAGGAATCGAATCCAAACCACAGATAACCATCGAGAACCTTCTGTAGAAATCTGGATCTTTATCTTCGATGCGGCAGTTGTGTCTGGAAAGCAGGGACCTTTTTTAGTTTTTTATACTGGATACTTACGCAGTTACATGACATCCACTGACTCTTTGTTCTACGAAGGCTGCCGCAACTTCAGCTTTCGACTTTCCAACGTCTGCTTCTCTGTAATTGATTTTATAAAGTAGAACTAATAGACGAGAGTCACTAGTTGTAATGTAGTACCTAAACAAGAATTGTCTATTTAGGTTAGACACATCAATCGTATCCATATCGATAACATCAATTGAACGGAATCCACTGAGAGCCTGAAATGCAGAATTTCTTTAAAATATTTGTTCAAGATGGAATATGTCCCGCAATACTGACCAAATTTTTCAGCAGCTCGCATCCAAGTCCACCTGCTCCGATCACTAGAACCTTCACATTTTGAACGGCTTCAAAATTTTTCGGTCCCGGATTGAACCATGGAACCTTGTAAGCTGTGTCACGATCGGTTAGCCTTCGAACGCTTCTCCATCGTTCTGTAGCCAACGGATCCACACTGACCATTTCCTACCTGAAGAGAAAGACGATTTTAATTGAAACAAAGTGAGAAATACGACAAAAAACGAAAATGTGATCGATTAGACCTTTGTCCTGGGAAAGACTATGGAGGTATAGGAGTGTGAATATATATTGGAAAAAAAATGGAGGTTACATGCCTGGTTATAGATTTTCCATCTCAAAAATTATTGCTATTTACTTGTCGATATACGATAAACAACGTACGCGCGGAATTGCGGAGCATCGTTGCCGGCAATGTGTGCGATGTTTCTCAGAGAATCAGAGAAATACAATCAGAGAAAAATATGTTTATGCACTTCAAGTGAAACTGTAAATATATGAAATAGAAAATATCCATCAAATTTATTGAAAGCACAACTGCAGTTAGTCTTTTTTGAGCTTAAAAAAAAGACAGTTTAGCTGTCACAAAAGAAATTTCGGATAAATTTTAGTGCGAAATCTATTAAGAGGCGAGACGCGAAAATTTTCAAAATTCTCGTTGTTTAATATACGGCACAGTACAATCAGTAAATAGGATTAGTCACCAAATCATAACTCCTTGTTGATGTACAAATCAATAGTTACATGGAAAGAAGCAAGACTCCGAGCCTCAAGTCGTAACAGTCTCGACAACTTCCAGCTTTACAAAGTTTTTAATTCCGTGCTCTAAATTTTTATGCTTGAATCTTCCAAAAAATATAAAAAAATCGGTGAAAAATGCTCGAAAATGAGTCTAACAAGGTTGCCGATATAAGCCCCGCCCACATTGCACGGCGGAACTTTTTGTCCGTATTTTGTCAGTTTTTTGCCCTTTTTCGTCGGTTTTTGTCCGTTTCTGTCAGGTTCATGGATCCGGTTCGTTTGTCAGGTTCGACCGTTTGGCGACGCCACGGGGCTGACGAAAATTGAATATTTTACTAAAATTATGCTTCGGGTCTAGTTTTTTTTGCAACACAGGCCGTTCAGAGGGGCTTAGGTTGACACCATTATTAGGGACATATCATCATTTTTCGAGCATTTTTCACCGATTTTTTTCTAACTTTTTAGAGATATAAGAATTAAAGCACCATGTCTTCAAGAGTCTGGAACACAGTTCAACAAAACAGTAATTTCAGTGAAAATCCTCAATTTCTCATCTTTTAGGCGTTTTTCGCCTAAAAGATGACTTCTTGCTGTAGAATAAAATGAGAATTATTAAAAACTATAAGATAGCAACTCGGGAAAGTCGACAAAGATTCTGATGAAGATTTGGAAAACTGATAGATTTTTGTTGGTACAGTTTATGTTACCTCCACAGGTATTTCCGAATTTCTGGGGGAAAATAGGAAGTTCTATTCAGCAAGTTATTGACATTGCGATGAATCATGTTTTCATAAGAATCCGAGTGAAAAGTATAACGATCAATTCTTCATTCAAATCTATTTTGTACATATAAACAGAAATAGGAGATCCTTTAATTTAAAAATTCCCGTTTTCTATGGAGAACACTTCCAATTGATCTAAGCTACAAGTGTCTCTGCTGTCAACTGAGCAATGATATGCTCATTCAACAAGAAGTTCGTTTCCAAAAGCATCGAACGCGAGAAAAGTGTTAGTTTAGGTTTGACGAGTTTGAATAGTGGATGAATTGGAATCGGGATTCCTTGACGAAGAATGTCATTCACCATTCTTTGCAAAATTTCACGGGATAGGAAACCAGCATCGTCAAGTTCTTCCTGGAGTAGAATCCGTGGAGACCGGGATGTCTGAAAACAATTTAAACCATTTCTCAAAATATGAAAAGACTTGCACTTACAAATTGAATCTCCTCGATCGTAACTTTTCCTTTAACACTTTTCGGTGTCAATTTCATTTTCATAAGAGCCTCAATTCTGATCTCCATCTCTCCAATTGGTTCGTTTCTATCAGAAATCAGACGAATAAGTCCCAAAAGACTGAAATGGATTCCTCCTGAAATTTGCAATTATTGTACTTTTCCTGTATTTTCTAAAACCTTTCTCTTCTGGTTGAACGATTACTGCAGGAGCTTTTAGTGTGGTGAACGCAAATGCAATATTTCTATCAGGCAGCATTTCTCTCAGTGCTGGAAATAAATCGCCAATACAGAACAACGATCCGGTACTCAAATCACAAGTTGTTCTCATCACTGGTCCAAATTGTGGAGTGGTCCAATCGATTCTGGTGTCAAAAAGTCCGATTCGGTGTCCGTGGAACATCAGAGAGTTTGGTACAAAGTCACTGACAACGATTTGAAGCATTTGAGATGGATTTGGGACACGAGGCAAGAAAATTGGTCCAGCACCGAAAGGAGTGGTATGGCCGGATTGGAATACTTCTCCAGATGTTTGAAGTTCGATTCCTCGAGATGTGAGAGATGGAGAAGTGATCATGGAGTAATCAAGCATCAGTGAATCAGCACGAGACTAAAAGAAGGGAACGTTCACTTCTCGATGTTGAAAAATTACTTACAAAGTTGAACGAATTCAAAAACAAATGGAATTTTTCCTCGTCGAATTGTCGTTTTCCTCTAACTGGATCTCTTGAAACTCTTCTGGCATTATGAGCATGCACGTTTCTTCTGAGAGTTTTGTTGGAGCGCATCATACTGTAAAACAAGTCAGACGGTCTAGAGGTATCATTTTTGACCTACTTTTGTCTAACGAGTCTCTTCATTCTCTCCTCTGCCTGCATTATGATTTTCACAATGTCAAAGTTTTTCGAGTTTTCCAAAGAGATACGACTGGATAAGAGAGCAAATCTTTGATTGACTCGATTAGTCACGATATGCTCAATTTTCGCACAAATCAGGTCCGAGAATATCGCGTTGGCATCATTGGCAATTCCATCCTAAATGAGATATTTAGATTTTTTACCATGAAAAATTTTTTGAGTACCGCAATGGATTTTCCGTTTCTGGGGTCCATCGGTTTTGTGACCAGTTTAATGCCCTGATTGTTGATTTTACAGCTTTCCATCTGAAATTTTAAAATTATTTCTATTGACAATTTTGTTTAGTAAACCTTCAATGCTGGATTCCCTCCGCTGTTCTTCATTATTCTAATAGCAACATCCAATCTCAAACTTGGAGTTCTAAAAGTGACATTATCCTGAAGTTTGATTCCTCTCAATTCTCCACTCAGAATAGCCGAAGTGCTGACAGAGATGTTACGAACTGTTATTCTCACGAGTCCATCGTTGGTCGTAGTGCTGACCAGTTGCTTTTCCAATTGTAATGTCTCGAGCATCAACCGACGAAGGGTTACTGTAGGTACAGACGACAATTGATGATCTTTTCTCTCTTTTGGTGGTTTGATATCTGCAAAATGAGAAGAGAATGCAGCTGCAACTACAGATGCCACATATTGGGTTCCGGTAGGTGTCACTCGAGCAATCACTCCTGGTCCTTTCTAGAAAAAAGAAATTGAGTGAACAAAGAGGAATCTAAGATAGCTTACCAGAGTTCTATCGTTGAACAACAATGGATTCATATCAGCAAGGTCTTTGGAAGGGATTTGACATGATGCCAGTGTGGCACATATCGAGATCTGAAACAAAGATGTTACAATAACACTTATGAATTGACAAGGGTTTCCTGAAAAACAGTGATCCAAATTTCAAAATTAAATGCTTACCAGTAAAGCATTACGCATTGTTGAATAGAAAAAGCCTCAGAAAGTGTGAATCGAGATCAGTTTTTTCTTCCAAGGTCAGTAGAGGACAATCAGATGTTTGACAACGGGAGACCACTTGAATTTGTTGCAATGAAGAAGAAGGGGAAGAAGCTGCAAATGATATATGTCAACAGAAAAAAAAATCACATGTGGGTTTGAAGTGGAAACAGAAGTTTTCGAATTTCAGGGAAACACGAAAAGTAGGTTCTACTAATTTCCATGTAAATGACATTGGGAAGAAAAACAAAAGTTTGGAGTGGAAATCGAAATTCACTTTCTGATTCTTTCTCTTTTTTTCCAGTGGATGAAAAGCTGGTTACTCGAGAATAGAGAGGTTTGTTTTTTCTACTCTTCGGTCAATAATGAAGTTGATGATGACCCCGATTTTGATGATCTTTTGTTTAAAAGTTTGTATGATTAGAAATAGAATATTCAATGATAAAGTGGTTTGAAAGATCTGATAACAAATATAGTAAAATCTGACGAAGGATCAGTTTATAATCTGATTGATTTGCCATTGGAGAGAAATTAGAAAAAATGTAGATGTTTAGATAAATGGCAGATAAAACTGGACACTGGGTCACTTTTTGAACATGATTAATCTTATATAAAAAGAAAGGATTTATGTACTTTTGAAGATAAATTGATTCTGCAGAATGCGTCGTTTCTGTAGATTCCGGACATTTTTAGAGCTAAACAAAAAACAATCAAATTTTACAATTTATTTAAAGGTAGCTTCAATTGCACATATTGTCGTTTGCCAATTAGTAGAATTCTTTTTCAAACATACCGTAAACACTCTAACAGAACTCCACCCCTAACTTTTAACTTTGAGCCAATTTATCTTGGTTCCTGTTACAGATATCAAAAATTGATCAACTGGCAAAATAATTCTGATATTATAATGAACATTTTTTTAGTTGACCGCTTCTTGATATCTCTCACAGAAAATGAAATAGATTAGCTCAAAGTTGAAGGTATGGGGTCGGGCGTTCTATTTGAGTGTTTACTGTAGTTTGAATTGAAGTACTTCTGTCAGTTTTCAGACTTATAGTAGATTAAAACAAGAGCTTAAAAAAACAGCGAGAAAAAAATGAAACAAAATCATCTCAAAGTACTAACTTTACTCAAAATCAAGAAGTCTACCTAAATTTCTTATATTTCAACCAAACCAAGAAAAAACTAATTTACTGGAACACTAGAGTAAAAAGCGAATAAAAAGGGTTCTTTTTGCAGTTCCACTATTGAGTGAATGTTGTAAAAGACTTGAACTGACCATTACTTTCCAATTATATACTCTCGTGTCTTACTGAAACAATTCTCTGCGTCTCTTCATCCCATACACTATTTTCATTTTCAGAACAAAGAAACGACCTACAAGGGGAAGGGGCTACTCTTCCATTGTTTCAGTCGTGTTACAACACAAGGGACAAGAGAAGCATTTTGGCAATGAGACAGTTAGAAATCGTTCTAATTGGAGAGAGTGCTGAGACACAATGAGTAGTAGTGACCACAGAAGATGGACCTGACAAGAACTGATTTTTATCATCTCTGAAAACTCCCAACAATTGGGTAAAAAGGGGGCGAAGGACGAACTGAAAACACTATTCTCTTTGTGTTTTCTATTGTCTTTTTCTCTTTTTATTTTTCTTTTTGATCTTTTTTTTGTGTTTCTCTCTGAGAATTCTTTTGGTTCTTACTTTTCATTGGAATAAAGGGACACAAGTTTGTTACAATCTGCTTCATGATCACATCCCCAAATATAGTGTTCTTTTCGTTTTCAAATTTCTTTGTTTTTGTTTCGAAAACTGGAAATATAGGTTGATCAAGGTTGAATATGTTCTGGAATAGGAGAAGGATCAACTGGCATATATATATATATATATATATATATATATATATATATATATATATATATATGAATATATATATATGAAGATCGTCTGAAACAAAAAAATTGCCTCCTTTTTTTCAAAACCTTAAAATAACCGGAGCACCCCGACAGAGTTCATTGTGACATGGACAGGACTAAATTCGAATTCTCCTATTCCAGAACATTCTGCAACGTTTCTCATCGTTTTCTTCATAATCAAATGTAAGATCCGAGATACGATTCGATTTGCATTACAGTAAAACCTGTTTTTTAGAAGGGCCCTCCGGGAGTGGCTTGGAAAAATAGACAGTCCCCCTTCGAAATGTTGTTTGAAATGAAAAACTTCCCTACGTTTTCAATGAAAAATATTCCGGAAATTTGCAAGAAATTCGTTGAAATACTGTTTTTTGATTAACAACTCGGTCAATTTTAGTGAAATATACAGATTTTAACGAATTTTGAAAGATAATTCACCGATTTTTTAAAAGATGAAAGTTTTTGGAAAAAAATACCGGAAAAATAGAAAAGCCTTTCGGAGGTACCTTGGAACAATAGAAGGACCTGTCCTTCTAATACAGGTTTTACGATAAATTTGCTTTTTTAGAGAATTAAAATGTTGGGACAGATAAAAGCAAACGTAAATAAGAAAGTGAATAAAGTGGTTGCAAGTAAATCAACGACAGCTCCACCAGCACCACCACCAAATACACCGATAAGGCATCGGAGAAGAAAAGGAAAAAATGGAAAAAAGGAAAAAGGGGCGGAGCGAAGTCCGGAGAAACCTGGAATTGGGATGAAAAAAGAAGATAGTTCGAGTGTCAGTGAAGATGAAGCAAGTTCCAAGAAAATGAAGAAGAAAAGTGTTATTGGATGGATTGGAGGAAGTGTTGATAAAGTTGTTAATCTGTTTGATAGGGATAAACATGTAAGATTTTTTGAAAACGGAATCACTAGGATCTCTTTTTTGATTTTTAGCCTCCTGGACAAATAGTTGATAACAAGCCCGATCCGAAATACAGTGCTCAAAAGATTCTACAATCGGAGAGACCTGATTTATTCGTTGGAAATAATACAGCTGATTTGTCTCATGACGAGGTTCAATTACTCGATGAACACTTGTTAAGAAAGGGAGAATTGAGAACTGATAGCTCTTTTAAATTGGGTAAAGTTGTGGATATCGATAGGTTTGTTCTGAATCAACTTCTGAATATTGTTAAACAGTAAAAAATAAAATTTCAGCAAGATTAAAGTCGGAAGTGGAGATGAAATGGATGTGATGTGCTTATATGCTTATGGAAGGTTTGGTGCAGTTTATATGGTTCTGAAAGAGACAGATAGTGAACAGTAAGTCAACTTTCCTTAAAGTTTGCTATTATTCAATCCTTAATTTTTCAGAGAACGACGTGGAATCTCCAACTGTTTTGCACTCAAAACATCCCGTCGAATGTATGCATCTTCTCGAATCAACCACGAAATTCGAATCGTCAACTCAATTTATTCGAATGCAAAAAAATACGGAAATCCAACTCATATCACTCCTATCTTTTTTCATGGACAATCAGGCGGAACTCCCTATTTAATGATGCCAATGCTCGATTCTTCTCTTGAAAAAATTCGTCAAGAAATCGGATACAAACTTCCATGGTCTGATGCATTTTTTATTGGACAAGAAGCGCTGGTTGGAATTAAAGAATGCCATATGCATTCGATTGTTCATCGAGATATCAAACCAATGAATCTTCTACTCGGTGTACAAAATAACAAAATTTGGTGGTTGTGTGATTTTGGAGATGCATGTCACATTGGAACCAATCAGTGTTTGAGTCCTCCTGATTCTCTTACTCTTCCATTTTTATCTCGTGATGCTCATCGTGGAATTGGTCAAAAGATACCTGCTAGTATTCGAATGGATTTCGAGAGCTGGTTTTACATGCTTTTAGATCTGTATACATTTCATTTTGTCTTTGTTTTAAACTTTGAAAACATTTCAGATTTATTGCCCTTCCCTGGAAACTATACATCGAAGAGGCGGATACACTGGCAGCTAAAAACGCATTCTGGGCTTCAATTGATTCATTTTTTGCGAAAAACGAAGAGAAAATTCCTGATCAGTTGATTGGTATAGCCAAACTTGTTGCTGGAAATTTGAATGAATCCTCTCATTCAACAATTTCGGCTTTTCTGAAAGTAAACATTACATAAGAAGGAACCTATATAGAGAAATTTATATTTATTCAGGAAGGATTCCACAAATCTCTAGAAGATTCTCCATGGAAACCAAGTTGGACCACAAAAAGAAAACCACGACAGTTGATTCCGAATAAGAAGATTAAGAAAAAGGATGGAGCATCGAAGAAGTCAAAGAGAGGAAAGAAGGCGAAAAAAGGATTGTTTTGAAACTACTAGTGATTTTTTAAATTAGTGAAATGAAGTTGATTTTTGTGTGCATTTATAAATGTACTCTCAGATGAGACTCAAATTTCGAAGAAATCCACTTATTTAGAATTCTAGGAAACATCATCTCGTGTTAGACTAACATTCGTTTTATGTTTTACAATTAGAGGGAAGATCAAAGAATTCAGTGATAGAAACTGAAGGAACATGCATTTTGAATCATTTCCTTATAGTCTCATTTATGATGAGAAAAAAAATAATTGGATGGATGTTAAGACTGAAAAATGAAGTTTTTTAGTACGGCAGACATAGAACCATTATGATGAAATAGAACCATTATGATGTGAAACGATTCAGAACTGGGACAAGCTGGACTTTTTGAAAAGTCACTATAGAATTTAGAATTAGAATTATTTATTTTCAAACGGTGTCATACGGTACATAAGAGAAAGACAGCTCCCCTCACGAGGAGCGCCTGCCAGGTAAAAAAAATAATAGAAAACGAAATAGTATACAGTAGAATAGATGTGCTAGAAACGTGAAAAGTGAACCTAGTAGCGAGAAATAGATGAGTCAAGGAGACGTTCAAATTGGGACGGGATAAGGGATTGGGTACATTGGCAGTTATGGCATTCCATACTGGGATGGTGGATGCAAAAATATCATTGATATGGAGATTGAGGCAAATTAGCCATGGGCAGACAGAGTTACGGGCAGAGTTAGAATAAACGGATTCAGGGTGGGGGATACATATAAGAAGAAGGTTGATCATTTTATAAAGAAGCATTAATTTAGATTCGAGGCGTCTATGACGGATAGAGACAAAATTTAGTAATTTGAGTCTGGACAAACAAAAGGCACTCTACAACCGAGCAATATTCAAGAATTTGCAAGACGTAGCATTTGAAAAGGGCAAGGTAGAATTCGGGGGATATGGAGTTGAAGGATTTTAGGAGCTGTTTACCCCGGAGAAGGGCAAGGGAGGAGAGGAGGAGGAGGAGGAGGAGAGAGGAATATAAACAATTAATTCTGAAAATTCTACCTCCCTTCTTATTTTTGACTGTAACTTTTTTCAAAATAGATCTGAAACGTCAAACCATTTTCTGGAAAATTTCTGACTGTCGGATTTTTTTTCTCGAAAATCTGAAAAAGAGAGAAAACGATTATGAATGTGAAATATAACATTTGGAACATGATTAAAGAGGGTTTGTTCTTTCGAAAATCATTAAGATACACTTCTGTGTATGGTATTGTTGTTCAAAGGTTCAACTAGAGATCTTCGGCTTCTGGGTCTTCTCTACTCTCATTTCACAATTTCAAGTGCTTAACTTTTGTAATAGTTCATGTTTTCAATATTTCAGTTGTTCAACTCAAGATATTTGATTATTTTACACTCGAATAAGTGTCTCTATGAGTTCCGAAAAGTAATTTTATGAATTGGGAGAAAAGATAAAACTAGCATGAGGTTTTCTTTTACCACTGAACATGATAAAAGGAAGATGATTGTTGAAATTCTCTCTCTCTCTCTCTCTCTCTCTCTCTCTCTCTCTCTCTCTCTTTCTCTTTCTCTGTTCTGATAAATTGTTTCAAAAGCTCCAATCAATGAATCTCGGCAATAAAATTTGATTTATTGTTGCTTCTGCCACCCATCAAGATGTGAAGTGATTTCACTTTCTCCAACTTACTCTGTATCATTTTTCAACTATTCAACTCATTCCAGAACCAACTTCTTTCTTTCCACCTTTTTTCGTGATTTTGGATCACTTCCTTGTTCTTGGATTCGCAAGAGTTTGACGTCCTGAAACTATAAACAAAGGTCATTTTGTTTCAAAAAACTGACTTTTCACCTTCATTGTCTTACTCATTCTTCCCCTTTTTTGCTCACATCCTGCTCCTGCAGAGATAATAACCCTTCCTGAGTGTGAACTACTTTTTTCTCCAAAAATTTCCGAAGAATCCAGAAGACGTCATACCCGTTTCGCCTTCCTTCTGTGCCTTCTTTCCTACCGCCATCGTCGACAGACGACTGAAGAAGAAGACCGCCCTCTCCTCTCATGTTTTCCGGTTGAAAAAAGAAGGAGCAAAAAAGAAGTGGGCGGAGCCTCGGACGGGTGCTCTTGGGGCGCGGAGCACATGCACACACAAATCGACCCCTCCTTCTTCTGGGCTCCGAGGAGGCCTCCACCATCACCAGGAGTCTTTTTTGTGCTCTTCTCGGTATAGCCATGACTACGTGGATTTTACTGTCGCTATTCTTGATTGGTGTTGTTATCACTGAACATCCACCGGTACGACGAAATGTTTATGTCGGAGAATTGGGGAATGAGCTAGAATTGAAAATTTGGGAACGACCATTTCTGATCTTATTTTTGGAATTGAGTTTCTAAAAAAGCTAAATCTTATCCATAGAACTCAGTTTTACTTCTGGAAGATCGGTTTACCATATTCATGGAAAAATGCTCTTTTCAAATTCATGAACTTCTGAATTTTTGTCTGAAACTTTTATGTTTTCAGCTGATTAAAAGCGACAAACTGATTGAGTATGCACCACAAGCAAGTACAGAACCAACATTAGGGTGAGTCCTTTTTCTTACTTTGCTCTTTTTTTCGAACACTTCCTCTATTTAACAACTCGTTATCTGTCGAGAAGGCCTTCGGGGGTCATATATCAAGTTTCAAGACAAAAAAAAACAACAAGGAAGCGTCTTTGTGTCTGGACAAGAAAAAATGTAAAAAGTTGAAGAGTCCGATGAGGCTGCCAACACACAATTTGTTTATTATTTTGTTCTTTTATTCAAGAGTTGGGGAAGATATTGCCCATTCTCTTCTCCCAGACTGACAATATTATGTTTTGTTTTAAAAATGACTGATTTTTGGTTATTGAGAGAAGCTTGGAAGACTAATAACACAGTTGTCGTTGACGCCTTCCCTAGTTGGAGATGTTTGGAATCAACTCTGACATTTTGAAAACTTCCGAAGATCTTCAGAATTAGGAGATTGGTGAGATTTTGTAGGATTTCAAAAGGGTTTTCATACAAACTAAAACATACATTGCTTGTTTTCTTGAACACTGTATCGGGAGCTTTTTTCGGAACGTCATGTAAATGCGTTCGAATGCTAATTTAAAAAAAAGGAAAGCTTCCACTTGAACTGTCAAGTCTTACGGTGTTGTGCCTGCATTTCATCAGAAAAAGCGCGGGAAACAATTTATTTTTAAAGAATGTTCCGGAAAAATCAGAAAGATTACTGTTCTCTGGCTTCGGGTATTTCTGGTTCTATCCGATCATTAAATTTCTTTTCCAGTAAAACCTCCATACATTCCTGAAAACAGCTCCTCCTCACCTTAAAATAATCTTCTACCACCACACGACGTGTAAACTTAAAGCATCAAAATAATGAGTTTTTGTGCTCTTCCTGTGCTCCTAGAATGAAAAAAAAAGGAAAATGAGTCAAAACAAGCCCCCAGTCATTTGATGAAAAAATAGAGAAGAAGGAGAAATTCTTCTTCTTCAGTTTCCTTCGACATCTGGAAGCGTAGCGACTGGGGCTGAAAATTTGTTTATTTCTCCCTATACTCCTTTTTCTTGTTTCTTTTTTGAATGTAAATATCGATGCCTCTCGTAGATGAGTGTCATCGTTTTGAATAAATACAAATAAATAGATAATAATAATCGAATTAAGTTCATAGGGACTCGACTCGATCCAGAAGGTTCGAGCCCATGTGGGTCTCTCCGGTTTTTCTTTTTTTTTTTTAATAATCCTTTTTTCAACGAAAACAAAGAATTTGAGACGAATCGGGGGTGACATCTCTACCCAAAGTAATCGTTTGAAATGAAATGGAAAAGTGGAAGGAATAGGAAGAAAAAAGGAGGAAGGAGATGAGGATGAAGGTGTAGTTTAGAAAACAAAATCTCTTAAATTTACCTAAAAAGTTTCGAGATGCCTGGCTTTGAGTTCAAAAGTTTAGAACAGAATTAGAACTGTAATATCCAATAGAGCGCATTTGATAATCTTTCGGCCACATTTTCTTGCTCATTTCATTGATGTTGTACCCAACACAAAATCGAATGTTTTATTCATAAATTCCTTTTTTTCTCATCTGATCTTCGGCTTCTCATCATCACTCCACCGTTTGTTTCCTCTAGAATTTCAAAAGGTTTTTTTTTCGTTTTCTTCATAGCGGCAAAACTTGAAAAAGCAGGTGGAAGAATGGGGGCATCGTAACGGAGGAGAATTGAAGAACGGAGCGACATATGAAACCTATAAAACACTTTTCCAACATGCTTTTCGTTTTCTGATGGCAGTGTATATCCAGTTATATGATCTATATTGAAAATATAAGAAGCACCACACGTGAGTGGGGTTATACTGGTGTAGTTGGAACAAAGAATAGCATATGTCAATGATCCTTTTTTTTATAGGTACATTATGAGATAAAAACTGCAATAATGGAGATCAGATGGGTCTGATCTGAAGGATTCATAAAAAATAGTATTAAATGTCTGATTAGCTTTTATTGGCACAAAAAATCTGAGATGAAGAAGAGAAAACCTTGTGGTAGGGATGTACGGAATGGCCTTTCCGGCATTTTTCGGAATATCTAAAACTCCGATTTTCAGAATTTCGGAGTTTCGAAAATTCAGAATATTCCGATTTTAAAAATTTCCGAATTTTCAAAAATCATATTTTAAAACAGAAATAACATTTTCCCATCACGAAAACACAGAAAACTTTTTTCGCAGTTTTCGGAATTCCGAATTTCGTTCCGAACATCCCTGATTCGTGGGCGTGGACAACGGTTCCCGCAACGAAAACCACCAATCAGATTTTTGCATACCAGAATAGAGAGGTTTGGACCACAGTTTTCAGAACTAGACATAAAACACGATCTCGTTCTTGTACGTTTAGCCTACATTGTGAAGGACAGGTCAAAATGTAATCCTTTGACAACCATCGTTGTAAGCCCAAAGACTAAAAATTAGAGAGTTCAGGGTAACATCTTCTGGGGGTAACACTGAGATAATAGGTCTTTCGAACGACTTCTTTTTGTGATGACGTGGTGGTTTGAAGAAGAAACATCTTCTTCTTCGTCTTATTTTTTGTTAACTTTATGTTGTCTTCCACTCACTCAACTCTTGGGAGTTCAGCGTAAGAAAAGACGAAAGAAGAGTCGGATGGAGGGATTTGCACGCAATTAGAGGTGCTCAATGAGCAACCGATGGGAAAATGTAGGAAAAGAGAAATAGAGAGAAATGGAAAAGAAGAAGAAGAAGAAGAAGAGGATTCCGAAAAAAAATGGAAGAAGTCGAAGACAATACTTGAAGAGGGAAATTTCATCTAGGTGCAAATTCTAAAAATAGGTGCAATTGCTCTAAATCGGGGTTTTTTCGATGCTTTGGACGTATTTAAAACTACCGTACCCTTCTTGCAAATCTGTTTTTCTTGTTTTTCGAAGAAAATCAACTCATATTTCTTTGTGCAAATATCTCATGACTATTTACATTTTCTCGGAACACTAGTTCTCACCTTGTAAAAAACAAGCTAAATAGCCCGATTTTTTTTCTCTAAATGAACCATGTCATATCGAATATTCAGAATAATATTTTTCTGTTCCGATTAAACATACTCGTCCGAGGAAAACGAAGCTAATCAGTCCAAAATTCCCCCATAAGCGAAATAATCGTACTCGCCAACTCACTATCAGAGGGATCCTTCGAAAATTCATTCTTCTCCTTTTAGTTAAAATAAATTAAATCAAGTAGCCCTTTCTTCTGCTAGGTGGCCTTTTTTTCTTTCCAAATTAAAATTAAACTTCTCCTTCTCCTACTTTTTTGTGCTTTGAATGTATTCACAGACGAATGAATTCATTCGACTGCACACAGAAAGTATCAGTTATGCACCAGAAAAAGGAAGTGCGTTGAGGTTTTTTCAACACAATGGAATTCACGGAAACTTCATTTTTCAGTGTACTAGAAGGCAAGAGAAGTTGAAGACGTCGGGGCCTTCGAGAAGTGTTGCAAAAAGTGAAAAAACTGGAAACGCACACCGGAGAAGTGGGCGAAAGGTCACGAGAACCTCAAGAATCGAAAAAAAAGGGGAAGGGATCGAACAGGGAATGAGCAGATGAAAAATCTTGAAGCGATGTTTGATAAATTTTTCCATGTTCAAGTTGTTCAGTTTTATCTTGTTAGTGAGATCTAGAAAAAGGTTTTGATATAGACCAATATTTAAAAGTTCTTAAAAAGTGGATGGATTGGAAAGAGTTTTGATCAAAATTCAATTTGATCAAATATTTATTTTTAGAAGTGTTCCTTATTTTCAACCTGAATTTTTTCTGTAATACCGTAGAACCTGTAATACAAGGGCTCCGACACTGTCAAGTTTGAGCTCAATTATCTCGGCTCATGTGAATGATATAAACAATGTGTCCACATATAACATGTTTGTGAAATTAAGCAGTTTATCAGTTGAAATGTTTTTTCATATCCTCTACAGAAACCGAGATAAATTGACTCAAATGGAAAAGTTAGGGATCTACTCTATTAGAGGTTTTACGGTTTTTCATATTGTGATGATTCACATTTGAATTTCTTTACAGATTCCTGTCATTTATGATTTCAAGAAATTCTATTCGATCCTTTTTTCTGAATTTCCAGTTTCTCCGAATGATTTCTGACGTCTCCAATTAGTATCATCCCGTACCATGCTCTTCTCTCTTCCCCCCTCTCAAAGCACATTTGTGTCAAATTTTCATGACCTTTCTTGAAATCGGATACACTTTTCCTTTCCTTTCCATCTACGTCGTCTTTTTTTTTTCATCTGTCTATGTCATTCCGAATATGTCATATAATGTTTTGATACATTTGACTCAGATTTCGTATTTTGAAAATGGGCTCCGAGAGAAAAAATGTATCGGGGAGGATGACGAAAAGGGATTGATTTAAATAACATGCAATTTTGAATTTTCAGGGATCAAAGCAATGAGAATCTGGAGAACAATGTGACGAGGTTACTGGACAAATTGATAGCAAGTCATGATAGAAGGATTCGACCGAATTATGGAGGTACGAGGGAAATATCTCCAATTTCTAAAAAATAATTCCAGTCCACGCATTTCAGAAGAGGTATTCTGTTTCTAAATTATCCAGAAACTTCTTATTCAAATGTTCTTACTGTGCTGAAAAAAGTACACTTTTCTTCGATTTCTCTTTTCTTCTCCCCATCATTTTTCTTGTAGAAAAACTCTTCCAATTTAAGGAACGCACACACACAACCATCAAATGCCAAAATGTCGAAAAACTTTTGAAAACTTGGCTTTTCTGGGACCGATAAATTGAATTTCATCTCCTTCTTTCGGCAATTTTTTATTCATCTATCTCTCTCTCTCTCTATCTCCACGATTTTTGGTGGTGAAAAAAGAGGCGGTGTGAATGAAAGACGAAAAACGAAAAAAGTTTTTTTTGGAAGTTTTGTTCTCGAGAGGAAGAAAGAGTAGGGGTCATATTTATGACCACTCGACAAATTTCACGCCTTCTCGGTTGTTGTTACGTCATCTGGAAAAGGGAGAAAAGGAAAATGGAAACATTTTTTGGGATCAAAAAGGAAGGAAGTTTTTAGAATTGAAAGTTATTTCAGGCCCCCCGATTGAAGTGAATATAACTGCACACGTCACAACAATCAGTGCAGTTTCAGAAGTCTCTATGGTTAGTTTAGAAGCTTCTTCTAGAAGAAAAACATTCTGACAATATTCCAGGATTACACTCTTGATTTGTACCTTCGTCAAATTTGGAAAGATCCTAGATTAGCATGGGAATCAGATGTGGAAGATTCGCTCACAATCGGAATTGATATGGTAAAAACAATCTGGACACCTGACACTTTCTTTCCGAATGAGAAGAAGTCGTTCTTTCATGAAGCCACGTCACATAACTCGTTTCTTCGAATCGATAGTCATGGAAATGTTTTGAGAAGTATTCGATTGACAGTTACAGCAAACTGCCCAATGAGTCTGCATACGGTAGGTCAGAATAGACTAAGGTTGTTTTTTAAAAAGATTTTTGACCTCACAAAGAAGTAAATGTTAACCGGAAACGCTTTTTACTAGTACAACAAAACACAAACATCTACTACATAATCACACAAGTGTAACCAATAAAAATACCAATTTTCAGTTCCCATTGGATCGTCAAGAATGTGCTTTGGAGGTCGAGGTAAGTTTCCGGCGATTAGTCGGCAAAAAAATCCTTCGAGAAAAGGGATTATAAAAACTTTCAGAGTTATGGATACTCGACAAAAGATATCATCTACCATTGGCATGGTGCAAATGCAGTCACCATTGATGAGAATGTGCATTTGGCACATTTCACAATTGGAGAACACTATCATATTGAAAGAACAATTAGTTTGTCGACTGGAAATTATTCAAGATTAACCGCTTATTTTATGTTCAAACGGAATATTGGATTCTATTTAATACAGGTGACCGATTCGAAAATTCGATTGATAAATCTTATTTTTAGATCTACTTCCCATCGTCTCTGATTGTCGTCATCTCTTGGGTATCGTTCTGGTTGAATCGAGAAGCCGTGCAAGCAAGAGTGGCTATTGGAGTTACTACTGTTTTGACCATGACCACTTTGATGACAAGTACCAATGCATCACTTCCCAAAGTGTCCTATGTAAAGTCATTGGATGTCTTTCTGGGTGTTTGCTTCTTTATTGGTGAGCATTCAAAATTTAGATGCAGTTTTTGAAACCCAACATTTCAGTTTTTGCTTCCCTACTGGAATATGCTGCAATTGGATATCTAATGAAACGAAATCGAAGTGTTCCAGCAGCTTCTCCAGTCCAATATTATGAAACAGGTAAATGATTCATTCAATGAACCGAAAAAGGTGTGAAAATAACATTTCACGACTTCCGTTTTAGAAGAGTTTTTCGAAGTGCAATGCCATCCGAAATATGTAAAAGGGGCAATTAATTATTGTGAGTTTCGAGATTATGGTGGTCGAGCAGCTTCTAATTCTTAGTTCTCATGTCCTATCACAACTCGTCCAAAAGTCCAATTTTCGTTCTTGAGATTGTCCCCACTTTCAGTTCAATCATTTTAATTTCTGTTATCTATAACAAAAACAACTGTAATAGATGGGCCCTCACACTCTAAAGTTTGAGCTAATTTATCTCGATATCCGTAAAAGATATCAAAAAGATGGAAACCTACAAAATCTTCTGATATTCTGATAAAGAATTAACCAGTTGATAGCTTCTTTATATCTTCGATGGAAACCGAGATAAATTGGCTCAAAGTTGAAAATTAAGGGTTTCTTTCATTACAGGTTTGACGGTATCCTGAAATCCCCAACAATCATTTAGTTTTTAAAATAAAATTTCAATATTTTCCAGGCGACGGAGTTCTAAAAAGAGAAGCAAGCCGAAAGAAAAGCAGAAACCGTCGAGACAGCTCAATGAAGGTTAGTTCTAATTTGCACGTTCTGACTCTTAATTCCTCTCCACCCACTTCTTTTTTTCTCCAAGACTACTTCCATAACATGCATACATATACATATATTCCAAAAAAGTTTGCTGAATGCCAGAGAGTGTCTGAGTGTGTGAAAAGAAGAAAGCGTTCGGAAAATGGACTGTCTCGAGGGGATTCAGAAGACGAGCCATCTTTTGACCACAACCCACGCAAAAACTAACACACAGTGTCTTTGAACTTTTTTCTATAAAAAAGAGGGGTCTACAAAATATGATGATGGTGAGAAAAAATGATTGTGACGCTTTGAAAACTTTTTTAGAAAGATACTAACTTTGAAAGGGATAGTAAATGGGAGAACATTTTGAACTCAGAGAAGCTTATAGAAAACAGACAATTTAAGGCTGAAAGCTTAAAATATCTTCTTTTCGATCTAAAACTTACTAGGATAATTTTAGAGCTATCGTACTTTCACAGAAAAAAGCATACTGTAGCTATTTTCGAAGACATCGAAAATCGTATCTAAATCGGTTCGTTCTCGGATGTCAAATTGTCAAATCAAATTTGCCATTTCTCACATTTCCTTATCTTCCCTTTGGTTTTTTGTTATGTTCCACTTCTAATCAAATTATCAGTTTTCTTTTCTTCTCCCCCCTTTAACTAAAACTGTTCCACGTCACCATCAATTCTAAGAAGGCGTCACAAAACCGATGTGCCCAATTCATCATTTTTGGGAGAGAGAGAATTAGGCATAAATTATTAAATATGAGTGGTACAAGAGATGATAGAGCTCTTTTTTTTAATTTGCTCAAAAACGGGAATTTAGAGAGGAAATGAAAAGTTTAAAGAGCACGATTCTTGGACGAGCTGTATGGGGAATACAGAGGGGTCAAATAGGTCAATTTATATAGTTTTTTAAGAGGGAGAAGAGAAGAAGAAAAATCGAACAATTGGTAGTTGTACTGTGTTATCTTATCCTTGTCTATAGATCTTTTTCTTTCTGGTTCGGAAAAAACCATTTCTGCAAAAGATGTAGTTTGTAGTCTGTCTGGAAAATTTTCCAAACTTTTTTTTTTGAAATGTCAACCTAAATGTGGTAATGATTTCCGGCTAGAAGAAAAAAATAGAAGAAAAGAAGGAGAACACGTTTCCTGGTGGCAATTATTATGGTGGCAATTATTACCTTACTGAGAAAATGCTTTTGTTCTAGCTACACCGATCTGAAAAATGATTATTTTCCAGAATTATCAGAACAACAACATTCATCACCGTCCATCAGATGGACATGTCGATCAACGTATTCCACTCCTTTCCATGGTTCCAATGCCACCGATCCCATTCAAACCACAAAATGGAGCATGGGGAAAAGTGAGACCTGCTCAGGTGGATAGGATTCTTTTGGGAATCAATAAAATTCTCTCATTTTTCAGGTGGATCTGTTCTCTCGCTTTGCATTTCCCATCTTCTTTGTAATATTCCATATCATCTACTGGACATACTACATCAACCAATAAAATCTTGTTTCAAATGAAAATTACATTTCTCTCATTTTTTGATATCGCCTTTTGAAACGGGTATTCTATCTTGAAATTTTTCTCGTTGAGGCACTTGGTTTTCTTTTTCTATGTATTTTGAATCAAATATATTCTTTCTCTTATTAGTGCCTTTCCAATTTTGTGTCATAATAAAATGGTTTCTCATTTGAATATAAACACTTTTATTAAAAAAATAAACATCCAATTTAAGCTTTATAACTGCGTCCTGGACATGGACAATATCCGGCATCTGGTCCTGGTTCTCCTGGAGATCCGTGTTCTCCGCAAGTTCCACTCTTACCTGGAATTCCTGGTCTTCCTGGAACACCTGGATGTCCTTGTGGTCCTTGATTTCCATCGGATCCTGCTCCTCCTGGATTTCCTTCTGGTCCAGGTGGTCCGCGTGGTCCTGGTGGTCCGATTCTTCCTGGTTGTCCTGGTCTGTACTCTGTTCCTGGCTCTCCACGTGGTCCTTGTGGTCCTGGACGCCCTGCTGATCCTGGTCTTCCAGCGTCTCCTTGCTCTCCTGGTCCTCCTTGTCCTCCTAGTGGTCCTGGTGGTCCGTGTCTTCCTTGTCCTCCGGCTGGTCCAGCTGGTCCGACAAGCCCTGGTGGTCCACGTGGTCCTGGACGTCCTGGTGGGCATTTGATACATCCTCCAGGAATATCGTGAGTGATGGCAACAATGACACCTGGAGCTCCTGGTTTGCCATCATCTCCATTATTTCCTGGTTCTCCACGTTGTCCTGCCTCTCCTGGAGGTCCTGGTGGTCCGGCTGGGCATCCCTCGGATTTTGGTCCGCAGTTACATTGTTCTGGGAAAGCTTGACGAGCTTTGCGTACTCCGAAAAGAGTCTCGAAAGTTGGTGGAGTAGGAATTGAATCAGTATCAACTCCTTGTGGATGCATGTGCTTGTTGACGATTCTCTGCCACGTGTCTTTTGTGATAGCTCGGAACTCGAACATCTCATCATCGAAATCCGATTGAAGTTGTTGGATATCGGAAAGAAGTCCCATCATTGTGTAGAGTGCAACTACAACACACACAAGCATAGAGGCGGAACCCGCCCAGATGAGCGTGTTACTCATTCTGAAAAATCGAGAATTTCGAGAAAACCCGGGAAGAAACTCCGTGCCGAAATCAACAAAAAGAGAGAAGTGAAAACCAGTATTACACTTTCTCTTCTTCTGTTAACCGTTGGTTTAAGTAGTCATCCTTATCAGATCGCATCGTTCTGAACCTTTCAATAATTTCCTAATTTCCTTCTCTTCTTCAAACGGTTCCGCCTGTTTTCCGATTCGTTTTCGACGACGTCAACCATATCAATTCTCTGTGTCTTCTAGTTTACAATTCTATTTTTTCTCTTCTCGTTGCCATTGGTCGTCAAGTGGTATGGGTTTTTTATTCAGGAAATGTGTCTCTCGTCTCTCGCCAATCTGTTCCTCTTTCTACTTTTCAGGTATCATTTGAAAAGGCGAAGAAAGTGAAAGTTTGCAAAAAAATCATTTTGGATGAGAAGAAGTTGGTCATTCGTTTTCAGCGATTTCTGGGTTTAAAAATCGAAAAACCTTACATTTGGAACTGGGCTCGCTGACATTTCGCAACTTGGATGGAGTACAGAAAAGTTTCAAACTACAAAAACTACCGTAAAACCAGTTCTAGAAGTGCCCCTGCAATAGAAGAGCCTTCTAGGGGGTCTTGGAAAAATAGAACGACCTCAAAATGTGTTGTTTGAAATTAAAAATTTTCATATTTTTCGGTGTGAAAGATTCCGAGAAAATCCAAAATTTCACAGATAAATATTTATTGAAGTACACACTTGGGTTCA